TAAGAATTGCAAACTATAGCAAGATTATAGGGTCAGCGTTTGGCCGTTAATGGAAACGGGAAAATTAACCTCTGGGTAATAACATACTAACATACATTATACTTACTCCGAGGGTTAGACAAATTTTCATACCTCTGAGACATTGGTAATATAAAGGTGAACGCACATTTTTTAGCACCGTGCGCACCGTACGCGCCGTACGCGCAGCATTTACTGATGACCTAGCATATTAGCACGTATGCGCCATATGCAAATATTTAGTATTACCAACAACTTTTGATCGATTTGATGATTTCAAACCATTGATTGATCGCTCAGAATCGATCGGATCACTAGGGGAAAAAACTCTTGTAATAAATAGCCTACCTAATAGCAGAGAAAGAAGAAAATAAATTTCAAAAAAAAAATAAAGATTCTGGATTTACAATATTAATTTAACAAGGCAGCTGTATGCAGAATATTATAAATGACGATGGATGGATCCGTCTTACGCTTGCCTTGTCTGACGACTAATTGTTGCCTACACAGTAAAAGTAAATACGCCTGAAATGAAGTAAAAATATATTTCGAAACGTGTAAGTGATCATCTTACTACTAATTGAAACCTTATTGTACTGAACGACTAGAAAAACACTAGCCACTGTAAACAATATTTCTCCATTAGAAGGATGGTCAAAACCAACAGTTTAGGTGGAAAATCCACTAAGTTGGTAACATTAGGCAACAACGAGTATCAGCACGCGCCGAATGCGTTGCATTATATGACATCATCAGCATAGCTCTTGTAATGTTTTATTTAAATTAATGTATTTGTAGCACATATTAGTATATAAATTTTGGCTTTCTGCACTCCTCCATATAAACTTTAATTACCTATGCCATATCTCACACTCCAACGCATAATGCTTAAAAAGGGATATAGATCTACATGGTTTTCCCTTGGCGCATTAATATGGAGATAATAAATAAAAAAATTAAAGAAATATAAATATAATAGTTTAAACAATTCTTGCTTTTTTTACGCTCAGAAGCAATTGAAAGGCTACCCTCCGGAAAGCGAGGAAGGGAGGTGGTGAATGCTCTAAGCATACCACGAAAGCCGGCTGTCGTGATTATGTGGGACTCACTGCAACTAACCTAACCTAACCTAAGTACCTACCCACTAAACACCACCTGTGAGACTGGCATTGGCTTATGAGGCCTTTCTGCCGAATCGGAAGCGACCCCCTTTAGGGAAAAGGCGGCGCAGGCCGCGACGTGCCGCTGAGGGGGAGCCTAACTAAGGCAAATTAAGAGTCGGCCTGAGCCGCCAGGAGGCAGTTCAGGTTGGCCGAAAGTTTGTTTGGCGGGTACGAGAGAGAGTTTCTCGGTCTTCGGACTCAATAGCGATAGGGGAATGGGGCTGCATAGGAAGCTGCGTCACGAATGAAGTGATTAGAGTGAGACTCTGAGGCTTTGAAGAAGTTCTCAGAGAATGTTTTTAGAAATTGTTGGATTGTGGGGAGCTCTAAGTCTCGATGGAGGTCGGCGTTACGAACCTATCAGGGTGCGTTCGTAGCTCGATGACAGAAGAGGTTTTGAACTACTTGGAGTTTGTTAATGGTTTTGCCAATACTTGGTTTAAAGTTACAGCCTATATACATTCCACAGCTGGGCGCAGTCTTATTTATGAACGTAATAATTAATTGTCGAGTAGTATTTGTTTACTCAGACTTTACTTGTCCTCGAAATACTTTATTCCTCAGACGTGTAACCTTCAACACGATGTTTCTTTCGCCGTCACTTAGTAAATCAGCACTTAATTTGCAAATTAACAATTACATTAAAGATGGAGATCTAAATACGTACTTAATTATTTACAAATATCTTGAATGTAATAACATGAATGTGTTGTATTAGATTGTGTGTGCAAAATGAGTTTCATTAAGAAAAAGTCCGATCTTGATCCGAACCTGAGGCTGTCAAATAAAAAAGAAAACTACAACCAATCTTTAACCTCTTTATTTAGTTTGAAATTGGTTAAAAAGCAAAGATTATTTTCGATAGACTAAACACGATCTCGGGCCGTGTGACGGTGGACGGTGTGAGTGCGGAGGAGGCGGGGCTGCGGGCGTGGCGCTCTCGTCTGTGCGCGCTGCCGCAGCGGCCCGCGCTGTTCGCCGCCACGCTGCGCGACAACCTGGACCCCGAGGCCCGCTACACCGACGCACAGATATACGCCGCGCTAGAGCAGGTGTGTACTGTACACTGTACACTGTACACTGTACACTGCGGGCGTGGCGCTCTCGTCTGTGCGCGCTGCCGCAGCGGCCCGCGCTGTTCGCCGCCACGCTGCGCGACAACCTGGACCCCGAGGCCCGCTACACCGACGCACAGATATACGCCGCGCTAGAGCAGGTGTGTACTGTACACTGTACACTGCGGGCGTGGCGCTCTCGTCTGTGCGCGCTGCCGCAGCGGCCCGCGCTGTTCGCCGCCACGCTGCGCGACAACCTGGACCCCGAGGCCCGCTACACCGACGCACAGATATACGCCGCGCTAGAGCAGGTGTGTACTGTACACTGTACACTGTACACTGCGGGCGTGGCGCTCTCGTCTGTGCGCGCTGCCGCAGCGGCCCGCGCTGTTCGCCGCCACGCTGCGCGACAACCTGGACCCCGAGGCCCGCTACACCGACGCACAGATATACGCCGCGCTAGAGCAGGTGTGTACTGTACACTGTACACTGTACACTGTACACTGCGGGCGTGGCGCTCTCGTCTGTGCGCGCTGCCGCAGCGGCCCGCGCTGTTCGCCGCCACGCTGCGCGACAACCTGGACCCCGAGGCCCGCTACACCGACGCACAGATATACGCCGCGCTAGAGCAGGTGTGTACTATACACTGTACACTGTACACTGTACACTGTACACTGCGGGCGTGGCGCTCTCGTCTGTGCGCGCTGCCGCAGCGGCCCGCGCTGTTCGCCGCCACGCTGCGCGACAACCTGGACCCCGAGGCCCGCTACACCGACGCACAGATATACGCCGCGCTAGAGCAGGTGTGTACTGTACACTGTACACTGTACACTGTACACTGCGGGCGTGGCGCTCTCGTCTGTGCGCGCTGCCGCAGCGGCCCGCGCTGTTCGCCGCCACGCTGCGCGACAACCTGGACCCCGAGGCCCGCTACACCGACGCACAGATATACGCCGCGCTAGAGCAGGTGTGTACTGTACACTGTACACTGTACACTGTACACTGCGGGCGTGGCGCTCTCGTCTGTGCGCGCTGCCGCAGCGGCCCGCGCTGTTCGCCGCCACGCTGCGCGACAACCTGGACCCCGAGGCCCGCTACACCGACGCACAGATATACGCCGCGCTAGAGCAGGTGTGTACTGTACACTGTACACTGTACACTGTACACTGTACACTGCGGGCGTGGCGCTCTCGTCTGTGTGCGCTGCCGCAGCGGCCCGCGCTGTTCGCCGCCACGCTGCGCGACAACCTGGACCCCGAGGCCCGCTACACCGACGCACAGATATACGCCGCGCTAGAGCAGGTGTGTACTGTACACTGTACACTGTACACTGCGGGCGTGGCGCTCTCGTCTGTGCGCGCTGCCGCAGCGGCCCGCGCTGTTCGCCGCCACGCTGCGCGACAACCTGGACCCCGAGGCCCGCTACACCGACGCACAGATATACGCCGCGCTAGAGCAGGTGTGTACTGTACACTGTACACTGTACACTGTACACTGCGGGCGTGGCGCTCTCGTCTGTGCGCGCTGCCGCAGCGGCCCGCGCTGTTCGCCGCCACGCTGCGCGACAACCTGGACCCCGAGGCCCGCTACACCGACGCACAGATATACGCCGCGCTAGAGCAGGTGTGTACTGTACACTGTACACTGTACACTGCGGGCGCGGCGCTCTCGTCTGTGCGCGCTGCCGCAGCGGCCCGCGCTGTTCGCCGCCACGCTGCGCGACAACCTGGACCCCGAGGCCCGCTACACCGACGCACAGATATACGCCGCGCTAGAGCAGGTGTGTACTGTACACTGTACACTGTACACTGCGGGCGTGGCGCTCTCGTCTGTGCGCGCTGCCGCAGCGGCCCGCGCTGTTCGCCGCCACGCTGCGCGACAACCTGGACCCCGAGGCCCGCTACACCGACGCACAGATATACGCCGCGCTAGAGCAGGTGTGTACTGTACACTGTACACTGTACACTGCGGGCGTGGCGCTCTCGTCTGTGCGCGCTGCCGCAGCGGCCCGCGCTGTTCGCCGCCACGCTGCGCGACAACCTGGACCCTGAAGCTCGCTACACTGACGTATAGATATAAGTCGCGCTAGAGCAGTTGTATACTGTGCACGTGGTTGCACAGCAGCCGCGCCGCAGCTGCAGTTGCAACAACAAGCAGATATACATAATTCTAGAACAAGTCCCTTAACCACGTCATAAATTTGATACAAATCACATTTCCTTAATTTGGACTGTGTTCGGTGAAACCGAACACCTTTGTTGCGCAATTGGCGCAACGCCGCCAATTTGTTTAGTGCACTTTCGTTATGCAACAGTGTCGGGTGCATTTATAACAATTTATTAATATTTTTGTAACTGTTATAAATAAAGTGATTTTTTACTATTTTGGAACGTTATCAATCCAACATTCGTAACAAACAAACAGACACACCCCCGACAGACTGTGACAACAAAGCGAAAGTAGCCTTATGGATATTTGCGGACCGCAAACTCTAAAGACAGGGGTTTAATCCGCTATGATTTGATCGCCAATACTATAAACGTGGTAAGCCACATCCGATTCACACACTTCACACTTCACCACATATTGGTAGGACCACGGGAACGTTTTCGCATACATCCGAGGTCCCACCAGCGTCGGCTGCTCCATAGCAGCACCTCTTCCGGAGAGGGCGACTCCTCCCCACTTTTCTTCTTTTCTTATCTTCTCTGTAAAAGCTGTTATTAATTTATTTTATTGGTGTTGTCAGGTGGAGCTCAGCGAAATGGTATCGGCGTCACCAGCGGGTCTATCCACCAAGGTGGGCGACGGTGGTGGGAACCTGTCTTCAGGACAGCGGCAGCTGGTTTGCTTGGCCCGGGCTGCGCTCGCCAACTGCTCCGTACTTGTACTGGACGAAGCCACCGCTAACGTCGATACAGAGTGAGTCTAATACATAGGGCACGTTGAAAGTTCTGCGCTCATGTCTGTTCATAAATGTTTCAATTTCGAATGATATATTTTTTTAAACGTTGGTGTGGGTGACGTGGGTGTTCGAAGGTAACAGCAAACCAACAACCTTGAAACGGGCAAGAAGCGTGGGCAAAAAATTATTGCGTTTTATGTTCACATGATGAGCAAGATACGGTTAATGATTAGTAGTACTTACACCTCCATTTGTTTGGTCAGTGTCTCTGAAAAAGTTAGGACTAAACGACTAAAAAGTTGCATTCTATTGCACAGTGAGAGCTTCGGCGCACACCACGAACAAGATAAAGTCATTTTTGGATTCTGAAAATGTGGAGCTCGTGACGCTGCGCTTTCTTTATTTTCCCAAACATCAAAGATTTGAAGAGATATTGATATTTACGGAGCTAGAAGCAGCCATGGTAGCTTTCAACCAACTCGTGAAAAATATATTCTCAGCCCAAATCCTTATGTTTTGAAACATGGTTTAACGAAAAATTGCTTAAACTGTAATGGAGAACACTTTGAAAAGTAGAAAATATATTAGTTTACATATAAAATTGTTTTAGTTACGAGTACCGACCAGTAGGGTATTTTTTATTTATTTATTTATTATATGGACAACAAAACAGATAACAATCAAAATACATTAAAATATAATATAAATATTACAATTTTGTGCCAGATTGTTATTCTAAATATGTTGACACATCATTTTTATATAAAATACAGGAGATCAACTCAACTCAGATCAGCTTTGCAATGTTTATGACATACATATGACAAGTACATTAAACAAAAAATAAAAAAATATACAAATAAGAAACTTAAAACCTAAGTGATATGGGAATGAGTTTGCATAAGTGTATACTGTTTCATTGCTCTTTTGAATATCCTGGATCTTGGGTCAAAAATATCCATGCCAGAGCTTTTCATGGATATCTCGTTGTAAAGTCGACACATTCTTATTATCTGGTTAGAAAAGGAAGTATTATTCTTATAAGTCTGCAGGTAGAATGTCTTGCTAGGAATTCGGGGATTGCGAGTTGTTTAATTTACTTAAGAGGTTATCGGAATCAATCTTATTATGGAGAATTTTATGTAAATATATAAGGTCATATTCCTTACGGCGAACAAGTAAGGTGGTCACTTTGAATTTGTCGAGTAATTCACTATAACTAACTAAATTACGAGCAAACCCACATTTGTAGCTAAGTATTCTGAGGGTTCTTTTTTGGACGCTTTCTATACTATCTGAATGGACCGTGTAGCAGGGAGACCAAATGACACAAGCATATTCAAGAATGCTACGGACAAGACTATAATAAACGGTCAGGAAGCTTTGAGGCCGTTTGAAGCCCTTAGTGCATCTTGTTATGAAACCTAGTAACTGGAATGCTTTGTTTTTAAGGTACGCATAGTGCTCACGAAATGTTAATTTAGAGTCAAACAGCACACCTAGGTCTGTAACTACCGTTTTCCTGTCTAATGAATCTTCGTTAATTTTATAGTCATAAGTCTTTTTTAAATAAAACTAATTTTACGGATTTTATCGCGTATATTAACAAATATACGCGATAAAATCCGTAAAATTAGTTTTATTTAAAAATGTGTAGTGTTCGCGTAAATATAAGAAATCATAGTCATAAGTCTGTTTATATCTCTTATTAGTGAACGTTATAACAAAACATTTTTTAACATTGAGGTGCATATCGTTACGCCGGCACCATTTATATATTGAATCTATATCATCTTGTAGTTTACCGCAGTCAGAAAAGTCCTGTATCACACGGTATGTTTTCAAGTCATCTGCATATAGAAGGCAAGGACTGGACAGTTTGCAAATCAGATCGTTTATAAAAATTATAGAAAATAACGGACCGAGATGTGAGCCCTGAGGAACACCAGATTTAACTGTGACAGGTGATGACATCAAACCTTTGAGAGCGACAAGTTGGCTTCTGTTATCGAGGTTCGACTGAATCCAGCGTAGTAGATTTCCATGAATTCCCGACATAGCTAATTTCTTGCAGAATAAAGAATGATTTACTTTGTCGAAAGCTTTCGTAAAATCGGTGTACACGGCATCAACCTGCCCACCCATGGCGAAAACTTCACATAAGTAATTTTTGTATTCTAACAAGTTAGTCACTGTTGATCTGCCTCTCACAAAACCGTGCTGCTTGTTGGATATAAGCGGCTTAACTTGAGAGTAAAATTGATCATATAACGCAGATTCGAATACCTTAGCAACACAGCACAAAATGCTAATAGGTCTGTAATTTTCACAGTTGGACTTACTTCCGGACTTGTGAATGGGTACGATATGAGCTAATTTCCAAATGGAAGGGAAAGCACCAGACTTTAAGGATTTATTGAACAATAATGTTAGTGGTTTATACAGTTCCCTTGCACAATTTGAGAAAAATATAATGGGAATTCCATCATACCCTGGGCCTTTGCGAATATCTAATTTCTTTAATTTGTCCAATATTGTGGCCTGACTTAGTTCTATATCACACATACTGTAATTACAAAAAGTATCACAATTTACAGTGTCATTAGTAACCAAATCCTGGTTGATGACAGGTTGAGAAACATCGAAAGTTGAACTAAAGTACCAAGAAAACAGTTCACATATTCCTTGTGTGTCAGAAGAAGTTTCATTACCAAGAGTCATAGTCTGTGGCATACCTGAGCTACCTATTTTATTGCTAACAGAATTCTAAAATATGTTTATGTTGTCCGATAAACCCTCCTCCGTGGAGGTAATAAACGATGCATACGCCGATTCCGTGAGTTTTTTACATCTCGTGCGTGCAATGCATAAGTATCGTAATCCCTAGGATTATGATATTTCTTAAAGCGACGATGATATTTATTTTTTTCTTTAAGACACTTTATTAATGCTGAAGTATACCATGGTGGATATTTGTTATTGGTTTTACTTACAAGCGGCGTGTGTTTTGCAATTAATTTATTTACGATAGTGTAGAAATTATCGACAGCACAATTTATATCCGGTTCATTCGATAAGCTAGACCAATCAATAGTTGCTAGATCCTTTTTTAAATCATAATAATTACATTTGCGGTAGTTATATCTTATTTGTTGCGCACGTTTAATTGTTTTTAATTTCAAATTTTTCATTATTACAATTTTAAGTGGGGGATGATGAGAATCTATTCGAGTAATAGGCTCAGTAGTTGTTACGAGCACTTTCTCTGTTGTTGATAAAACGAGATCAAGTAGACGGTTATTCTCATTATACACTGAATTAAGTTGAACCAAGTTACAAAGATTCATAATATCAACAAGACAATTAGATTTAAGGTCGGATGAAATACCCGGCGTCATAACGTTACTATGAGTACTAGGCGACCAACTCAGATGTGGGGTGTTAAAATCGCCAACAAGTAAGAATGCGTCCTTATCCTCACCACGAGATATGTTTTTATGAACATTTTCCTAAAAGGCTTGCAAGTGGTCACGAGAAATATCGGGAGGGAGATAACATAAACCTAAGTGGAGCTTTCGACAGAAACATTGCTCGGAAGGATAGTCATCTAAAGATCTTCTACTTCACATTTCCAACTCGCTTGTCTAATTACATGAAATTTTTCCTTAACAGCAATTAATACGCCACCGCCTTCATGCTTAGAAATATAACTAGTATGACGGTCCCTTCTGAATACAGTAAATTGAGAATTAAACATTTCAGAATCAAAGACACTGTCATTTAAATTGATTTCGGTGAAACATATAACATCAAAGTCACAACTTAAAGTATTTAAATAAATATCTGTGACTTTCGTCCTGATTCTATTTACATTTTTGTAATAAATATCAAAAGTTCAAAAGGTTTATTAAAATAACAAGAACAAAAAGTTTTAAAAATTGTTTTAAAGTGTCCGAAATTATTGAATTTTTAACATGTATGGCAGTTGAATTATCGCCTTTCCTCATATATACACGGCCATATTTAATCCAGACATATTTATATGACAAGTTTTTGGCAGTTAATCTTGCTGCAGCATGAAGCTGTTTTGTTTCCGGTGAAAGGTGTTCTGAAACATAAACGAGGCACTCCTCTCCATGAACGCCCAAATGAGCAGAGTTCAATTGGGAAAATTTATTATTCTTGTTGTAGGTTTGTAAGCAGATAGCACGTTATCACGGTCGCGCTCCGATGGTAAAGTGACAAGTATTCCACGAGACCTTTTTATTTTTTATCAATTTTTGCAACTCGCTTTACAGCTTTAATGTTGGTTTCACTAATTGATATTTCTATTTCTTTTAACAGATTACACACAATTGAGACCAAATTTTCGTTTTTCTTTTCCGGCACACATTGTATTTCAAAATTACAGCCCCTAGAATTTTTTTTTTAATATGGAGATACGACTGTTTAATTTGTTAATCTGCGATTCTAATGTGGTTTTTTCGGTTTCCATTTTGGCGATGTTTTTTGTAGCAGTATCTAATTTTATTTGCATATCACATTGAAGTGCGGCTAAGTGGTCAGTCGTCTCGGTGCACTCTGCCTTAAGCTTACAAATAGTGCAGTTGATATCCTCCCTAATTGCAGACCTCATATCCGACAATTTTAAGTCCAGGAGTGTGCTGAACTGATCATATGTTATAGTCGCCGATGGTAGTACGGAAGCACTTTTCTCGGTAAAATCAACCGTCTGCGGTGTTACGTTATCGGAAGACATATCCGAGATGTCGGCAGGCGGTGATGAGAGCTGCTTGCGAACAGGCGTATTATCATCTTTACGACGCGTTACTAGCTTACATGATTGACACTTCCATTGTCGTTTCAGTTCGTGTAAATTGTCTTTATAGAAAGACGTCGATAAATTATAGCACTTGTAATGGTAACATCCCTTGCATGCAATACATTTAAGCTGTTCGTCACTACGAGTGATTTTATTGGATGCTAAGCAATGCATTTTAATAATATTGTCGTAGGT